AATCGTTTTTGGATGATCTTCAGCAGAATCTTGCTTGCATGTGAAATCAATGACACTGTTCTGTAGTTTCCACACTCAGTTGGGTAACCTTTCTTTGGAATGGGAACAAATATAGATCTCTTCCAAAAATATGACAGAGAAATTGATGCCTTTGAATAGTGGCACTGGAGAAGAATACTGAATATCCAATTAAATACCAAAAGGGCAAACAAGTCTATCCCTTTGAGGCAAAGATGTTGAAACGTCATCATACTAACTTTAAGGATATTTCAGAAGGGGCCAGTCCTGGAAAAAAGACATGCTGAGGGAGGTAGAGGAGGATCAGAGAACGAGAGGAAGACCCTCAACAAGATGGACTGACACAGTAACTGTAAACAAAGGACATGTCAGAAATACCATGAGGGACGGCACAGGATAGGCCAAGGTTCAGATCTGCTGTTTTTAGGGTTACGGTGTGTGGTAGTGGACTTGACAGCACCTAACAACAAAAACCTAAAGGTTTAGGGTTTTTTTTTGTTTGGTTGGTTGTTTTTATCATGAAGAATAGGCGGTTACGAAACCAGTGTAAACTATACGTTCCATACCCCTCTATCCTGCATTGTCTCTTCCATCCTTGACTCTATACCCTTTCCAGTGAAGAGACTCACCATTCATATACACTGGCTGCAACTCTTCCATTCCTGTAAGTGGGCTGGAGTGGGACATCTCACCGTTGATATACATAGGCTCCTCCATTGCTGAAGGTGGACGGGAATACGTGAACTCTTGAAGTCTTGGGCTGGAAGAACTTAAGTGATAAAGTGAATTGACTATAATATAATCACAAAAACAGTGAGAGAGAGGAGGAATGGTAGTTTCTTGGGAGAGAGGGTGTAAAAAAATGAAGTAGGCATTACTTTCCTTAGAAGATATTATGACCCTTCCTATGATGTTATTGTTAAGTACTTTTGACTTGGAAAGGACTAGTAGCTTTTCTCTAGTGAGTTTTCAGAAGCAATAAATCACACAGGAGGAGCTTGTTTATCTTTCTTCTGTGAAGCAGTTAGTGGGTTTGAATTTCATGCCTTTAGCAGCACAACTTTTTATCAATAAACCACCAGAGCTCCTTCCTCTCCACAAGGACCTTAGTGGGATAAGGTTTAAGTTTTCACCTGCAAAACAGAAGCTCTATGGTTTGAGCCCATCAAACATTCAAAAAGAGAAAGATCTGGCTGGCTAATGATTTTACAGACATTACAATTTTGGAAACACTTTAAAAACAGTTCTACTCTGTTCTGTAAGGTTCTTGAAAGTGAGATGGAACCAAGTAAATAAACAAGGGGTTTGATTTTTATACCTGGTATAAACTATCTGTATGTGGTCTCCCAAGGTGAAACCAGGTGGTTACTATAGATGGGCACTCAGAGATCGGAACAGAGGTAGGTTATATAATCACAAAGCAACATCTTTTTTCAGTTTAGCTTTCTTTTTAAGTTAATGTTCATTACATTTATTTTTTCATTTTGTTATTGCTGAATGAATGCATTTCTTAATATGGTGACTACTTCAATTGGTAGATACTGTATGTTTCTCTTCTTTAGACTTTCCCAAAATTACAAATAAGATGATGTTGCTTCAGATACAGGGGTTTTCCCCCTCTTTTAAAGATTATCATGAATTTTGAATTTTCTCATTAACTTTCTTTCATATACTCTGTTTTTCATATTCTTTGGTAAACTATGTTCTTTGAAGAAATAAACTGTATAGTAAGAATATTCCCTTATTATGCAGAGAGATGGGAACTATCATACATGTTGGTGGGATTGTAAAATGGCATAACCATTCTGGGAAGCAGTTTAGTGTTTCCTCAGAAAGGTGAAGATAGAGATTTCATATGACCCAGGTATTCCTCTACTAAGAATATACCCCTAGAAAATTAGAGCTGAGACATAAAGGAAGACTTATATACCAAAGATCATAGCAGCATTATTCACTATCACAAGAACATGGAAACAGCCCCAATGTCCAATCACAATAGAATGGATTGAGAAATTGTGGTATATTAACGTAATGGAAAGTATGCGGCACTCAGGAACAATTTTTTTTAAAACTTACTGCATAACTTGGGAGGATTGGAGAGTATTATGCTGAGTGAACTAATACTGCATAAGGACCAATACTGCATAAGATCATTATAGTAAAAATAGAAAGATAACTAGTAAAATGTGTGTGAGGATCCAAGGAGGGAAGGGTGGAGCAGAAAGATGATGATGGGTAGGGGGGAAATCACAGGGATACACAATTTGGTGGGTGGACAAAGAGGGAGGGCAGTAAAGGATATTGGAAAGATCCAGTGGGAATCTAGAAAAACAGGGTAATGGTGGGCATAATGCAATGGTGATTAATATTATAAAACATGTTGAATGAGAATGATTGTATGAAATACAATGTGAATGAAGGATAGTGTGAAACATAATGTGTATAAACTTTGTAAGCAAGCCAATATAAAATTTTAAAAAGAATATTCCATTATTCTTAATATCTAACAAAACCTTCTACATTATACATATTCAACAAATGATCTTGAGTGTAAAAATATACTATTAATTTAAAAAAAATCTAATTCTACCCAATATTATACCTAGGATCATGTGGACCCTGAAGCATAAATGTAATGAAGTAGAGAAATAAGAAAGTTTTGTGGCTTTGAATTCTATGTATAGATAGAGTAACAAGAAGTATAAAACTGTCATTGAAGAAATGCCCTAGAGTTGCGATATTTTTTAATGTTGTTGTTGTTGTTGTTTTTATGTGCCATCAAATCACCGACAACTCATAGCAACCCTATATACAACAGCCCTAAACCCTACTCTATCATGTGTCAATCTTATTGTCTCTGACTCACCTATCCCCATTACCCCAGTCACTGAATCAATTATATCATTGAGGGTCTTCCTCTCTTGTACTAACCCTCCACCCTCCCAAGCATGATGTCCATCGCCAAGGATTTTTTTAATAAAACACATTTTTACCTGGGTGTATTAGAAGCAGAACTTCTTCCTGAAAAACATAAATAATATTTGCTTCAGTTAGTCAACTGATAAAATATACAATATGCACTAAGATTTCATTTGTGTGAAATGACTAATGACAAATAACTAATGCCAATTCTATAAGTCGAATCAATGGAGAAAACCATGCTTTTCACCGTTGGTTTGAAATACCACTTCAAATGGTGAACTCTGCAGGCATTGACTCTTGTTTCAGGATGTTCTTTTCTGTTCTATTGTCTTTTTATCTAATCATATACATGTAAAATAATGTCTCAATTATTTTAAAATTTCTCTTAGGAGTTAAAATAATTAAGATGCTACCATCTCAGCTTGAGGTTCTATCACAGCTCATGGGAAGGAGGGGGGAAAGCCAATCTGACTCTAGAAAGCTCTTACTAGGAATCATACCATTTTTTTAACATTTCACTTGTCATATGTCACTTCAAAGATTCAGGTAAATTCTCATCTTCCCCAAAGTAAAGCAAAACTATACATTGATGAATACAACAAAATTTTTACAAGATTAATTGCTGTTATGTGTTGTCAAATCTGAACTGCCTCATAGCGGACCCTCCAAAAGGTTTTCAGAGGCTGTAAATCACACTGGAGGAGACCACCTATTCTTCTCTAGTGAAGCAGTTGGTGAACTCAAACCACTTGCCTTTAGTTTGGCAGCACTAAGCCACCAGAGCTCCCTTATTAATTGCAAAGCATAACACTCTTGGCACTAGAAGTTAGGAAATAAAAAATCCAATTGCACTGGGAAATCTGCTGTCAGGGACCTCTCCAGAGTCCTGAAAAGCAATGATATCAATCAGGAGACTAAGGTGCACCTGATCCAGGCCATGGTCTTCTTAACTACTTGCTATGCATCAGAGATCTGGATAACAGAAGAAGAATTGATGCCCTTGAGTTGTGGTGCTGGAGAAGATTCTTCAACATACCATGGACCACCAAGAAACCAAATAGTTCTGTCTTAGAGAGGATGAAACCAAGTTTCTTCTTGGGAGCTAGGATTTTGAAACTCAATCTTACATAGTTTGGGCATTTGGCCAGGAGGAACCCATCCTTGGAGAAGGACATACTATTCATAAAGGTAGAGTGACAGCAAAGGAGAGGAAGACCAACGATGAGATGGATTGATAGAGTAACTGGGGTAATAGGGTAGGAGAGTCTGAGTCAGTGAGACTGGCTCATAATAGAGTAAGGTTCAGAGATGTTGTATAGAGGGTCGCTGAGGCTCAGTGACTTGATGGCAAATAACAACAACAACCACAACAAATTAAAAAGTATCCAAGAGCTATTGTTGTTAGAATAGACTCCAACCTATAATGAGCCCATGTACAATACAAACTCTGATCTTGTGCCATTCTCACAATCTCTGCTGTGCTTAAGCTCACTGTTGCAGTCACTGTATTAATCCATCTCCTTGAGAGTCTTTCTTTCCTTCATTGACAGTTTTTCCAACTATGATTTTTCAAGGATGAGTAATATATGCCCTAGATATGTAAGACAAAGTCGCATCATCCTTGCATTGAAGGGGTACACTGACTGCACTTTGTTCACTACAGATTTGTTTGTTCTTTTGACACTTTTTTATAAACTCAACATACTTCCACAACACTGCAATCCAAACGCTTCTTTTTTTTAATTGGTTTTTATTCAATCATCCATTTACATTCTGTTGTATGACATTAATTACAATTAATTAATGCCATTTATCATATCATATTAAATCCTTACTCTACCTTGTCTATTTCTTCACCATACTCATCTATCCACTAATCTCTGCTGCACTAGCATTTTTCCTTCTCCTTTCTTCTCTGCATTCATCTCTTCTCCCCTTCCCCTTTTCTAGTTATGCATCTTTTATTCCAAGTTGCTAATTGCAATACACATATAGTCTGTTTATCCATTCATTCTAGGCTGGTGTTCCCTTCCACTAATCCCTTATGTTGTTGTTGTTGATTGACATTGAGTTGAGCATGGCTCATAGCGACCCAATGAACAAAAGGCCTGAAGCCTTTCTAAAACTATCATTTATTAAAATTCATAAAGTGTCCAAAGGCATGTTGTTTAGGAAGTGATCCTGCTTCCAACCATGTCTTAAATTGGAAGCCCTACCAAACACTGTCCACCATAGGTAACTGTTACGGCATTAGATACCCCAATGGCACAAGGTTCAGCATCACAGTAACCCCAGACTATCTCAGTACATCATATTGACACAAGAGTGCTGTACCACTCTAAGAGTGAATGTTCCTCCAAAACATAATAAAAATCAACTTTTACATAAAAAGGCTGTTTCCGAGATATTTTTTACTCTAAACAAGAAGCTTTAATAAAATCAATCAATAGAGTATGTTTTTATTACTATGTGCTGTTGAGTTGCCTGCGACGTATAGTGACCCTATGTACAGCAGCTCTAAATCCTTCCCTGTCCTGGTCCAGTCTTACTAATTCTGATACACCAACCCCCATTGCCCCAGTTACTGTATCAATTCATCTTATCCTGGATCTTCCTTTCCTGTGCTGTCCATCCACCCTTCTGAACATGATGTCCTTCTCCAAGGACCAGTCTTTCCTGGCCATGTGCTCAAAGTATGTAAGATGGAGCTTCAAAATCCTAGCCTTCAAAGAAAGACTTGGTTTCGTCCTCTCCAAGACAGACCAATTTGGTTGGGGTTTTGGGGCAGTCCATGGTGTATTCAAGACTCTCTCCAGTACCACAACTCGAAGGCATCTATTTTAATTCTGCCATCCTTAGTCTTCTTGAT